GCTCAGAAGCAGCAGGAGCCATATTTCTTTAATCAAAGAGCCGCATGTGGCTCAAGAGCTGCGGGTTGGCCACCCCTGTTATAAACAATGTAACCAGGTGGGCTGCATTTAGATAATTGATAAAGATGTAGTCGTGGGCTGCAAAAAAATTCTATCAGGCTGCATGTGGCCCACGGGCCGCATGTTTGACATGACTGATCTACGTAATTCCTGATAATATTGTGCCATCCTAATACTGTGCCATTCATTTTGGGAAATGTCCTTTTTAATATGGCTGAATCCCCCAGGAATTGTTAGCAGCGGCAAGGATTCTTGTGCTGAAATCCCACAGCAGGAGGGAAGTGCCACAGGGGCTGTGGAGGGGGCAGGAGATTGTCTCCCTGATTTGCCTCCAGCTAAACTGAACAATTGGCAACAAGGGGGAGGGGTAGAGGAAGCCAGCTCTGCCACTGAAGTACTGCCCATTGTCAGTGAGTCTGACCAAGCTGTGGTATGGTCAGGAGGGGCATGGAAAAAGCAGAGGTGCAGGTCCAACCCCAGGAGGCACAGAGGTGCGTGTCTTGGAGCAGAACCTTCAGACAGAGGCTGGAGTCCAAGAAGCTATTGCGGGAATTGAGGAATCCCGGGGCTTTCCAAGGAAGGGCCTGTCGTGGCTGGGAGCTGTGTGCCTACAGCTAGACAGGTGGTAGATGGCTACAGTGACCATATTTTCTGAACCAAAATGGGGACACATTAGCCACACCCTCTGATCCCTTAGGCCCCACCCACCTGCCACAAGAAGTCCCACCCCTAGGAGTAGTTCATCTGGGGTCAAGATGGACACATGACGAGAAGTAAAGGGTGTCATGTGACCCCCCTCTAAGAACTCCTCCCACCATGCTCTACCAATAGGGGTGGGTTTGGGCTCCATAGGTCTGGGAGCAGCTTGGACCCAACTGTCCCCCCCCCCCCCTCTGGCAGTAGCGGCGGCTGCTGTAACAAAGAATAAGCTGCTGCCTGCACATGGAGGAGGGAGCAGCGTGGCCAGACTGGGGCCCCACGCAATAGAGGCAGTCCTGCGGGGGGAGGAAGGGAGCTGGGTCGGTGCATGGTGGTGACAGCATGTGCTGGAACACGGGGAATTCTCCAGAAACTGTGCACCAATAGAAGCTGCCGCAGCTGGCCGCTGGCAAAGTGCCAAGGCAGGGAGGCACCTAGGTGCTCTGTGTGTGGTGGGGGGTAGGGGGAAAAGACCATTGCTGATGCGCTGCAATAGGGGGTGAGGCTCTGCCAGCCGCAGGGAGGGAAATGGCAGTGCAACGAGCCATTTCTAACTTGCCGCTTTTGTGCAAGCTAGATTCGGCAGGGCTTTTCAGGATGTTTTGCTAATTGATGGGGACACCGGAACAGAGTATTTAAATTTGGGACTGTCCTGGAAAATCCGGTACTTGTAGTTAGTGTACAGAGAACAAGATTGTATCTCCATCTTTGGCAGCAAAGGCTGAGAGATGGATGCTGGGTGTATATCTGTAAACCCAAGCTGCCTGCCTGTCAGTCATGCTTCAAGATGGAGTGCTGAGTCTGGACTCCCAGTGGGGGGTGACTCTGCAATTAGCTTCATGGAAGCAGAACATGAGGAATTAGTGGAAACTCCATTGATCTAAAACACGCTAGTGTCAGACATTGAATTGGCACTTGATTTGAGACAGGAAGGTAGAAAACAGTGGCTATCTGCAAAGGCATGTGAGCAGCGGCGGATATGGGGCAGGGCAAACAGGGCAGCTGCCCCGGGCCCTGTGCTTTAATGGGCCCGCGCCAGCGCCAGGGGCGGCCTGGCCTGGCGGGATACCGGGTACTGGTGGACCGTCCGCCAAAGGGCTAGCTGGCAACTGCTGGAGGAGGAGGGGGATTGTGATGGGGCACCGCAGCCCCACACTTTAAATTCCCCAGCGCCAGCTAGTACGGGCCATGTGGGGCTGAGGGAGCGCAAGCGTGGCATGCTGAAACGCCACGCAACAGCTGAGAGGGG